AAAAAAAAAAAGAAATGAAAATGTATGCCTACAAAATCATCTTGTACTTGAATATTGACAGCACTTTTATTCATGGGTCAAAACTGGAAACAATACAAATATCCATGAACAGGCAATATAGTCAATTGTGTATACTGAGACAATGGAATACTACTCAGCAATAAAATAAACCACCTGCTGAAAACTTATAACAGGGATAAATCTCAGAGAAGATGTGAGAAAGAGGCTAGATACAAAAGAGCACATAAAATCTAATTCTACTTACATAAAATTCTGTAACATGAAGAACTCAAAATAGTGACAGAAATCAAAGTGGTATGGTTACCTGGCAGGGAGGGTACTGGGGAGATTGGTGAGTTGATAGTAGATGAGCCCCAGGAAAGTTCCTGGAGTGACAGAGATGTTCTATTTAACTGTGGTGTTAGTTACAAGGTGTAAGCATTTTTCAGCACTCAATCAGCTGTATATTTAAAAGCTGTACATTTTATTATATAAAAGTTTACCTACAATTTTTAACAAGGACAAAAAGGTTGACAATTTTTACCCCTTTCCTAATTTCAAAAAGACACCATACCACAGAATATTATTAGCACTAACATAAAAGGCTTTAGAAAAAAAGGAAATCTTAAGAGACAGACAACTTCTGAATTTAAACCTAACATCTTTTCACAAGGAAATAAAGAATATTGTTCCTAATTAAGTTACATTATTAGCAATAGCAATAATGTAAATGCTTTAGTGAGACACAGTTCAAAGTGTCAGAACATCTAGAAGTTCTGCAAATTCAATTCCCTACAAAGTCAGATGAAAAAGAGCTGTGAGCAGAAAAGAAATGAACAAAAAGACAAGTATGTCTTCAAGCCATATATGCCACGTCACTTAATAATCTGTGGTGTTAGTCTTACTAGAAATTCATTCAGGGCTCCTTCCTCAGAGGCGTATCACAGTCTCTGCATGGTTTCTGAATCACAGCAAGCCAAGCTCACAACCTCTTGTGCCACTTTAATGGCAGCCCCACTGGCTTAGAAAGTTACTTCCATCTGCACTGTCTCAAGCCCATTCAGGCTATAATT